AATTCCCTTTGATGAAAGGTGCATTAAAAAAAATCTTCCCTCCATCCTAGCTGAGAGGGTTTCCAGGGATCTTTATAGGCCCTACAGGTGAAGGGAGAGACAAAGCTTCCTTCTTCCTCAACCCCATTGTTTGGGAAGAGGATAGGGGCTGAGGCCGGAGGTCCTAGCCTTGGCATCTGGGCCCACTGCCTCTCAGAACAGCTGCTCCTCTATCCCCTGCCAGTCACAGGCTGGAAGGGTTAGGGGAAGTGTGTCTGAGCACATGACCCCTGGGACTCACGGGTCAAACACAGGCTGGGAAGGGGAGGGACCCAAGGAGCAGCAGCTGCTGTTTGCTGGGCTGGGTTCCCTGGGTATTATTTGTTTAAGTTTCAATAAAATTATTGTAATTTAGTGGATCTGTATGTTTAGTTGTTTCAAGAAAAGATTTTAAATCTGCAGTTTATTTTAGGAAAGTCCTAGCCCTCCCTTGAGGTTGTTAATAGTAATCTAAGTATTCAACTATTTGATCTGATATGAGAACAACTGTTAGGGGTCACAGACCTGACCAGGGGATCCCAATATCAACCACCAAGGCACTTCCTTCTGCTTTTGCTATTATTTTATATTATTCCTTTAAACAAATTATATAGATGCATGGTTCAAAATTCTAAATCTATCAAAGAATTTTCTCCCACTTAACCTTGTCCTCTAGTTCATTCCATAAAGGCAATAATTTTACCAGTCTCTGTGTTTGTTTTTTGAATCCTTCCAAAGACTTTTTTATGCCCAAATAGGAAAATATGTGACTATACACACTTTTTTGTTTTCTGTAGCTCTTTTTAACAGAGAATATTTCTCAGATCTCCATGATAGCTGCTATATGTTTGCTTTCTTATGCTAAAATAGATACTGAATTTAGTGACACTTTAAATACACTAGTGTTTTATGAATAACAACATCTGTATTCATTTAAAAAATTTCTTCTATGGGTATTTAATAATACCTATACTACATTGTATCATGCCACAGCTAAAAAAAATAAGGTAGCTGTATCTGTATTAGTACTAAAAGGCCTACCAAAAAGAAACAAGTTTGGGAATAAGCACTTACACTATGACAACATTTATATAAAAACCATCCCCCGAATACTCCAAATTCATTGGACACCTACATACAAGCATATAACACTCTCCAGAAAGTTACATGCCCCACCAAGAATAACGGGGAAGGGAATGAAATGGATGGGAGTCAGGGGTGAGTTATCATTAGCAAAGGGGTCATTAGCAAAGTATACCTGCACTGGGATAGACCATTAAGCAGTATACTTGTTGTTTAAGGCTGGTGTCCACCTGACTAGTCAGTGCACATGCTGAACTCTTGCTAGGCACTTTGAATATCATCCCTGGTCATTAACCTTATCTTTACTGTTCAAATATTTTTAGAAAATGAATTCACATGGTGAAATTAAAAAGTTTATATACAAGAAAAGATTATGTGTGCAAGGCGTATGCATTTTATCCACAAAAAGAGTTAGAGCATATGGCTTTGTAGTACAGAGACTATTATCCAGTGATCCATTCCACAAATCTATAATTTTCCAAAAGCTAAAAGATGCTTCCTCAGTACTTCCAGTTAGACTCAAAATACATCAGGAACCCTATCTCCAGCCTGGGAAATGGCCATTCAGTGTGCTGAGGCAGACTAACTCCCTGTTGTTCAAGTCCCAGTCCAATCTTCCTTCTCAGCCTGAACCACCTGGACACTGAGAAACAAGGGGAAAGAGTCCCTCTTGGGTCATTCCACCTGACAGGCTACAAAAGCAAATATTGTCCCTCAGAAGTCATCTCTGATAACTTACAGAGGTTTGTAAACGTTTTCATAAAGGGCCAGGTAGTAAATATCTTAGGTTTTGTAAACCAGATGGCCCCTGTGGAAATCACTCAACTCTGCCATTGTAGCACAATGCTAACAATAAGGAAATGAATGGGCGTGGCTGTGTTCCAATAAAACATTCTTTACAAAAACAGGCCTCTGGCAGGCCATGCTTTACAAACACCCAAAGCTGACAACCAGTACTGCCAATACTTTGTCTCTCTCTAACTCATCACTGGCCTGAGGGACCAAAAACCCAAAGCCAGATGGAGACTCTCAATCCTAGATAACACCTTATACATTAAGAGATAAAAATTAACAGAGTAAAAGGCTCCAAAGTGATTCCACCCCAGCATTGCCCCATGACCCCAGATAAAATGACTCTGAGAGTATGTGATGTTGAACTTCCCATACTCAAGATAATTCAGGTCCTCAGTGTGCACAAACTGGCCCCAGACTCCCCAACTGAGCAAGGACACAAGAGCTGGATGGAGAAAAGAAGTTTCAATTTTGGTTCTCCAATCTGTATTTCCCTCTCTCTGCCTTGAATGCTTGTCTCCTTAATTTAAGTCGAAGTATAGAGAACTGAAATGTAGAAGTCAGTCACAAATCCTACCTGGGTTAGGCAGACTTTCCCTGATAAGAGCCTATCTATTGTAAAGCTCCCACATCACACAAGAAATCTATCTTTATCTTAAGTAATAAGCATTATGTCAGTCAATCTTCCCGTGGCAGGTTGACACATCATTAAACCAAGGCATGAGGATTAAAAAAAAGGGGGGTGGGAAGCCCCATCAAACCATTACAACTCCCATTTCTTTCATATGTAACAATACAATAAAGGCAACTCTTAAAATTATAGGCTGTCCTGCGTTCAGCCTGATCAAATGGGGTTATTCCAGGTTTTCTCCAAAGTTAAAACACCAATTAGAGTGCTAATTTCAAAGATGATACTAAGTAAGTAGCTCAGGGAACAGAAGAAACTAAGTAAGAAAACACAACAGAAACAATCAATTTCAAGTCCTCCTAGAAATTGTTGAAAGTTATGTTTTTTTATTTTTTGGGTTTTTTTATTGTACCCAATTAGAGATGAGAGGAGGTGGGGGGAGATCTAAAAATCGTGATTATTGTGTTACTTTTTTCCCTTCTTGCTCCCAATTAAAGAGGGGTTTCTTCTTTCACTAGAGATGCACAGTTATTAAATCATGATGTCTTTCTTTTAAAAACCAATTTATAGCAGAGGGCTCCTCCATACTGCTGCCACTTCTGCAAGGTTGCTTATAATTGCTCCATGCAATGCTTTGACTAATTAAATCACACAAGAGATTGTTTCTTAGTAACACACCTGGTCCACGCTTTGTTGTTGGCTTTCATTAAAGCACAGTGTCTCATGCTGTCTTATAGCATGAAAGGATATTAATCAGGTAAATGGCCATTAAAAGTCATATCAATGTTTGCTGTGCAGTGATTGTTTTCTTAAATCTTGAACAAAGGAGGTTTCTTTGAAATCTCAGGGCTGGCCTCCAACCACAGGAGAGAATAGCCACATTGAAATGCTTTGTTTTTCAACCTTACCAAGAAGAAAAAAGAAGCAAAATGCAAGGTGTGGCAAGATGTAAGATTATACTCTTTGTTCCACTGGGCTATTTAGGGAAAGGAGAGGCAAGGAGGGACAAGTTGAAAAAAATGAAATCAGTGTAAGGCAAGTGGGGACAACAGACAGAAAGTGTTCTCTAATGGCCCCCCATTCCCTGGGAGAGGAAAGCTTCACTTTGGAGGCAGTGCTGCTAATTAGGTTGCATTTCAGAGCTCTAGTTAGAAATAAAAATGCCCAGAGAATCAAGTGTTACTTGCATATTAAATTGAAAAGGAAAAATGCTGCTAACCATTTCCTTCTGTCAAGAAAGCACCCTTGATGGTTTTATTGATCAGCTACTGTATCTGGACCTGGAACGTGGTCATGACAGTTTGATTCCTGAGTTACTCTGCCCTTTACCTGTTGGAGCAGTTCCTCCAAATCAATATGTATTTATATAACCAAGCCAACATCCACTAGAGCAAACATTCCATTCAGAAGGGGAGCAAGGTGGCTACATACACAGACACCTGAAAAAAAATGACCAGCTTGCCAAAGGCATACACATAGAATCCTGGATCCAGCAACCTCTTCTCCTGCCATAAATGACTATTTGTTCTGTGTTAAGCAAGTGGCCTTGTTGAGACTGAGATAAAGCATACTGCTTAAGAACCCAGGCTCTAGAATAGAAATTCTGGGGTTGGAATTTCACATCAGCAACCTCACTACAGTAGGCAAATTACTTAAACCCTCTGTGCCTTTGTTTCTCATAAGTAAAATGCCCAAAATAACAGTAATAATCTCCATATGAGTAGTAATTCTCATAACGATTATGACAATAAAATGAATATATTGCATATAATCTGAGATACACATGCGCCTACAGACACACATATATATAGTATTTGGTACATAGTAAGTCCTCAATAAATGTTAGGTATAATATTCTTGATAGCTGCCAAAGGCTTACACAGTGTATGTAATATATACATTTTATTCAAAACGCAGCTCCGAGCGGCGACTCCGTAACTAATTACTCTTCGGTGGGCTGCCCTTTGTGACCCCGTAGTATGAGAGGCCTGCAAGCTTGAAATGGGTCTCACGGAAACAAGGGGGAAACGAAACCAAGGCAGGCGGCGTGTTTCGAGGCCCTCCTACGACTCTCCCAGGGGGTCCCCACCGCAGGGCCTGCTCTCAAAGCCGAGAGCGCACCGCGCCGGGGCTGCCCACGAAGACGGTGTCCACACTGCCCCCCGGACAACAGCACTCAGAAGAGAGTCGGGCTGAAACCGAGCTCGCGCCCCACTCTGCACGCGTGTGGGCTCGCTGCGCCCAACGGGGCTTCCGATGGGGGACGCGCCCGTCAGCGCACCACGGCTGCCCGCCCGGGCCTTACTGACACTTCCCGGAGGACAGCGGGCAAACTAGTCAGGGCACTGAGCTGCAAGTGGCAGAAAGGCCACTGCCAATTGGCTCGGCAGGGACAGGAGGGCTTCCATAACTGCGAAGTCCTGCGGTGGCTCCCACCTCGAACACGGCTCCCTCCAAGGCCCTGAGCCCTCAGCACTACCTTCGCTCCGGCAGCTCCAGTTTGCAGGGCTGGCTCCTCGCTCACCGGGACCGGACGATGGCAGCACCGCCAATGCTCTAACGCGCCTGCGCAGCGCTCAGCATTCTGGGGAACTTGCCAGTCATTGGCTGGGATCCGGTCACGTTACCTATTCCTGACCCAATCACTCTGGGCGACGGGAGTCGTATTCTGATTGGCCAAGTCGGGGGTCACAGGGCACTTCAGGCACCATGGGTGGAGTCAGTACTCTTTGACCTTTTATTTTTTTATGTTTTATTTCAGCATATTATGGGGGTACAAATGTTAAGGTTACGTCTTTGACCTTCTTGGCTGAGAGTTGGGGACTGCAGGTGAGCTGGTCGTGGAGAAGAGGATGGCGGTCTTGCTACTGGAATAGCATGACGGGATGCTGGCCTAGTGAAATGGTAGATGTTCACAAGAGTGGAGAGAGAAGCAGGAGGCCATGGAGGACTGGGGTGGGGCTTGAGGCAAAAGCAAGAGGGCAGGTGTTCTCTCCTCAGGTGTCCATCCATTGGTCTCTTGTCCTGTCTGAGGACAGTTGCTGACCACTGAGCTGACGTGCACACCTCTGAAAGCCCCTGCTCTGGCACCCAGGAGTTCATTAATGGACCTAAATCTCGAAGGCCGACATTCTCACATTGCACATTAAAATCACCTGAGGAGCTTTTCACACATCTCAAAATGCCTGAATTCCACCTCCAGAGATTGATTTAATTGTTGGAGGATTGACAGGAGGAGGCTAGGTGGGGGTACTTTTAAAAAGCTTCCCCAGTTGATTCTGCTGGACGGCCACGATTGAGAACTGGTGTCCTGGGGCATCTGCCTTCTGTTCTTCAGTAAACTTGGCTCACAGAAGGGGGAAGAATTACCTTACTCCCAAGATCCCTCATCCTGGTTAACCAAACTAATTCTCCCCAACCCAGAGCAGATCCTAAAGTTAGGGGAATTGAGCTAGGGGCTCTCGGGAGAAGGTTTGGTTTTGGTGGCGGGTACTTTGTTGCATGAGGAGATAATAAGTATATTAAAAAGCACAATACTTTTTCTTCTCACTGTTCTGCTTTCACATTACTTTCTCTGGTATCTTTTTATGCTGGTCTCAACAGCTATGATGTCATCACATAAGCTTACAAAACAAATTGACGAAAAGGTGGAACTTCTGGGAAATGTGCTCAGAGGAGGAAATTATCCTCCTGCCCTTTACTCTTTCTGTCCACCAGTTTTATTTCTGCCCCTTTCCTATAGAGAATGGATTCCTTTTTTTTAATTGGTTGCAGGAAGAGAACTGTCGTTAAAGAAACCAAGTTTCTAATAAGGAAGTGAAATAACCAGCCTGCATATTAACTATAAACCATCTCCATTTGCCGGATTAAATACCAAGAAAAGATTCGTTCGCTGCTGGGTTTCTAATCTACTTTGATTCACTATACTGCTTGTGCCTACTAGGTTTCCTGTTTGGGGGGGGGGGGTTAAATCTGTTATTTTCTTTACCATTTAGCAGGCTCAAGAATAACTTAAATTCATGAAGAGTTGGTCTATAATAGGAAGTTAAGAATGCCTGGGATGTGTCTTGGGGTTATCACCAGGGTGGGCAACTATTATATTCACCCACAAAAGCCATATCTTGATGTTGAAGGTAGTACTAGAACACTGCCAGGATGCCATCTCTCCCCTCCCCATCCCCAGTTTACCCATCTAACAATTTTTATATTACTTATTAAAATTTGGAAGACTCCTTCAGATGCCACTCTCTTCTATCTTCATCTACTCATATTTATTCTGTCATTATGAAAGTTTCATTGCATACACTATTTTGTCCTTTACATCCTCTCCTGTATTTGTAAAGCACATCCATTTTACAGAACACTTTTATATTTGTTATCATATTTTAATCCCCACAGCCACAATGCTGTTAACAAGTCCACTCATAAGGTGATATCTTAATTAATCAGTGAATGCACAATTCCATAGCATATTTTTTTAATGCTTTGACATATGACCACATGTTAATGGTCTTCCCTGATGGGTACTGCTGTGATTTGAATATGTCCCCCAAAGTTCATGCATTGGAATTTAATTGCCATTTTAACAGTATTAAAAGGTGGGGCCTTTAACACATGATTAGGCCATGAGGGCTCTGTCCTCATGAATGGATTAATGCCATTATCATGGGCATGGGTTTGTTACAGCAAGAGCAGGCTCCTGTTAAAAGGATGAGCTCAGCCCAATTTTCTCTTTCTGTCTCCTGTACTAGCTTCCACCTTTTGCCTTTTACTATGGGACGCCCTCACAAGATGCCAGTGCCATGCTCTTGGACTTCCCAGTCTACAGAACGGTGAGTTAAATAAACTTCTATTCCTTATAAATTGCCTACTTTGTGGTATTTGTTTATGGCAAGAGAACACAAACTGACCAGCATATAACAGATTTTTATTACCCAATATTGTGTGCAACAGAAACCCTCAGCTGTTCTTTGGTCCTAACCATCCTGTTAAATAAGGATCAATTTCAAATTCACAGAGGGTTCAGGAAGGCAGAGCAGTTGCATAACAAGGGCCGGGTAGGGACTATGGCAAACCAAAGAGTACAAACTACTAATGCCATGAAAACTTGAGGGTTAGTTCTTGCCAAATCTTTAACTGTCTCAAGAGAAGCTGTTAACCAAGATCTTTGTGGTACTATCCTTATGCTTAAATTATAACTAATCTTTTTTACTCTCTCTCTTTTTAACTCTATAGGCCAAATTGGCTACTTTTTTTTGGCTGCATTCAAACAAATGCTGTCATTTCTGATTCCTGCTTATCCCTCATTTTTTCCTCTGTTGATTAGCTTAGAATTTGCAATGACAACATCACAGACTCAAAACAGGCAAATCACTATGTCCCAGGAGTACCAAATGGCTGTGTCAAATTATCTTTCCTTGTGCCTTACCACCCCTGCACCAGTTGTGATTATTGTCTCCATCTATTTCTGTTGTACCTTGTATATAACTCTGACACCATAATATCCCTCTAAATAGTAATTATTTGTGTATATGTTTCTCTCCTATTAGACAGTGAGCTCCTTTAAAGCTAAAAGTGTGTATTTTTCATCTTTCTGTCTTCAGTTCACAATGGACACTCAATTATTATTTAATAAGTGTAGAAAGATTTGTATGACCATTTCTAAGAGATAATGATTTAGAGAAGTGAACACTACCATGATGTTGCATATATGCGCATATACACATACACATGCACACACACACACCTCACCCCTAACAGTATCATCACCTCACAACCAAATGTTATGGTTGACCCATTAGGAGTTGTAAGGCCAAGGTTCTTTATAATCAACAATAACAATGAATGTGGTTCTGGTAAGAGAAGAAGTAGGCAATGAGCTGGAACAGGATGCTGCCCCAGGTGCTTAAACATTTATATAGGGCTCTTGAACCACATTTCTTCCTCCTCCTTCTGCGATTCCATGACTGATCCCCATCCTGTCAGTTTGCCCTGGAGCCCAGCTAGAGGGCTATCACAGGCCCCATCTTCCATGTTTCTATTGGCTTTCTTCATGTGAACAACCTGTCTTTCCTCATATCCTATTCATCCTTCACAGCAGCTCAAACTCCATTTTCTTCAGGAAGGTACCCTGGCTGCTTCAGCCACAGAGGACCTCTTCCTTCTCCAGGTTGTTTGTTTGTTTGTTTATTTGTTTGTTTGTTTGTTTGTTTTTAGTGCCTATAATCTAATCCTTCCACTTTGCTACTTTATTACATTTAGTCTTTCCTCCTTTAACGTGTAGTTGTATCCTTAAGAGATTATTATAAAAATATGCTGTTTAAAAAATTGTTTTGATGGAGAAAATAGGAATGAGGTGATAGAGAGCCTGAGATTCACAGTAACAAAGTTATATCATCTGGACTAATTAAGATTAATAAATGCTTCTACCCAAAAGAGCATAAGACATTCTATTATAAAGACATCTGCACCTGAATGTTTATGGCAGCACAATTCACTATTGCAAGGACGTGGAAACAACCCAAGTGCCCATCAATTCAAGAGTGGATTATTAAAATTTGGTATATGTTTACAATGGAATATTACTCAATTCTAAGAAACGACAGCGAGCTAGGACCGCTTATACTATCTTGGATTAAGCTTAAGTCCATTATCCAAAGTGAGGAGACATAAGATCAGAAAAATGGGCTCCACATGTACTCGCCATCAAATTGGTACTGGCTGATTAACATTATGGTACTCAAATGGTGGTGGTGTTCACCAGATATTTGGGGGTTGGGGGCGGTAGACCCACATCTTAGGGATGTGGTGAGCATTGTGGAGGGGAAGGGCATACCTCTAACCCTTGCTAGGGAGAAGCAAAGCTATAAAATGTAACCAAAATGTTAAGAAAAGGAAAAAATTTATTGGGTGTTGGGCAGGTGGGAGGGGAAGAGGGGATGTGTATATACACACATAATGAGTGCGATGTGCACCACCTGGGGGATGGACACGCTTGAAGCTCTGACTCAAGGAGGAGGGGAGGCAAGGACAATATACATAACCTTAACATTTGTACCCCCATAATATGTTAGAATAAAATATGTATATATATATATATATATACACAACGAAAAGATTAATAGATGCTTGTACATAGCTCTAAAATGTAAATATCACTGAATAAATCTAGTATTGAAATAAGTTTGACTTCTGTTCAAACAATAACCTTTGTCCTTTTATCATATATATTCTTGATAGCTTTTCCTCATTCATTCATTCAGCACATATTTATTGGGCTCTGACTATGTGTCAGGCACTGACCTAGGTACAATGGATACAGCAATAAATAAGAGACAAGATTCCTGCTGTCACTGAGTTGACAGTAATGACAAGTAAACAATTTCAAATGGCAGTTACTAGCATGAGGAAAAACAGGCTGACAGGCTAAAGAATACCAGAGCATGTAAGTGAGGGACAAGCTTGGTGTGCTGACAGAACATACAAAAGGCAACATGCAAAGCCACTCAAATGGAAAGGTCTCATCACAAATACAACATGTTTTCCATTTAAGAGGTTGTTAGATCATAGACTCTGCTGGTTACCTAACTTTACTTTTAACATTTTAACTGGAAATATAACATACATACAGGAAAGTACACAATCATAGGTGTACAGCTGAATGAATTTTCTCCAAGTGAAGACACGTATGTATCTACTTAGATCAAGAAACTGATCATCACTTGCCACCTCAACCTCCATAAATCTCCCCTGAGCCCCTTTCAGTGACAAATGCCCTTCTTTTATCACCACAGATTAGTTTTACCTTATTTTTAAATTCACATAAATGGCATCAAAATATTACGTGATAGTCTTTTATTGAGTATACTACAATTTATTTCTCCTTTCTACTTTAATGGGCATTTGAGTTATTTCCAGTTTTTTACTTAAAAATACTTCTATTATGAACATTTTGTACAAGCCTTTGGTGTACCTATGTGTATATTTGTTTAATATATAGTGTTTGTATGTTTAGCTTTAGTAGATACTGTTAAAGTAGTTATACTAACTTATACTTGTAAACCAGCAGTTAATGGAAATTTGGCTGTTCTATGTCTTCACCAATATTTAGTGTTTTCTGTCTTCTGCACTTTAGCCTTTCTGGTAGGATCACAATGATATCCACTATGGTTTTAATTTGCATTTCCTTTATGACTATTAAGATTTAGCTTTTCATGTGATTACTGGTCATGTAGATATCCTCTTTTGTGAAGGGTCTAAATCTTCTGCCCATTTTCTATTGGGTTAAATTTTTTCTTCCATGTGATTTATAAGATTTCTCTACATGTTTTGAATGTTTGTCAGATATATATCTTGAATATCAATTATTCCACTCTATACTTGTTTTTTTTATTTCCTTAAAGTTGTCTTTTGATCTACAAGGCTATTGAAAAAATTCTTAATTTTATATGATTCCATATATATATATATATATATATCAATTTTTTGCTCTTTGAGTTAATGTTTTACATGGGCTTTGAAGAAACTGTTGTCTACCCAAATCTCATAAACAGGTACAGCTGTGGTTACACAATGACAGCAGAGAGGAACATGTTTGGTACTCAGGTCTACTTGGATGCCTGTTGGTCTTGTCTGATGAATTTTATTTGTAAATACCCAAATACAGCCACTATGCCTTGGGAAGGGCATGGTGACCAGGGTCTCAGACTGCTTAGGAATAAGGATATGGATCATACCACCAGCTAAGCCACTGAGTCCAGCAAAGGTGCTAGCTCAGGGTGAGGAGAGTCTAAAATGACAGTAGAAGAGGGAAATGGTGACTATTAGTTATAGCTCTGAGACCAGCTGCAAGTGGCTGATTATTACATCAACCTTTTGAGTTTCCCTTGGGAAAAGATGCCCATGGGAGTTCTGGGGGAGTTGCTCCCAGAAGCTATATGAAGAAGTGAATCTGAGTGGTACATGGAATGGACTGCAGTGGATGTTGTAATTTGCCTTGTTGGGTAAAAAATGTATCTACCAGGTCTACTCTCAGGACCATAGATATCTGACGGGTTTTTTAGACTTGCATCATATATACAGCTAACACACCCAGTTCTGTGAGCCTTTTATTCCCTCCTTTTCACTGACTGGCATGGTTTTTGAGAAATTGGCCTGTAAATTTCCTTTCTTGAGTGTTTATCAGATTTTGCATTCAAGGTCATACCATAAAATGAATCAAGAAGTATTCTCTCTGTTTGCATAAGACTGGTATTGTTTATTCCTTAACTGTTTGGACCAGTTCACTGGTAAACCCACTTTAAGCCAGAGTTTCTTTGTGGGAAGGTTTTTATTGAAGACTCTCTTTCTTGAATAGACGTAAGACTATTCAGATTTTCTCTTTCTTCTTAAGTCAATTTTAGTAAGTTCTTGTTTTACAAATTGTCAAGAGTTTCTACTTAGATTCTACTTTTAGAAGCCTCTTTCTCATATTTTCTATGCCCCCAACCCTTCTTTGCCTGGAACTACTTCTGAATTGGAAATTGCTTTGTATGGAAGAGTGGCTGGGATTATCGGGCTTCTATATACTTTCTTTCTCTTCAAGATATTGACCCCCTTCCAATCCTCCTGCCAACACCTTCAAAAAGACATCTTTTAAAGCTTTATTTAGAAGTAGGAGGATTGTTCTGCTCATCCAAGATAGTTCAAAATGGAAATACTCCCCATATTGTTAAAATAAATATCTTACTGATAAATGCAAATTGTATTCTGCAATTAATCTATCTCATATGCAGATATTTTTAGGAATATTTGTTCTGTAGGACAAACACCTGTGCATTCTTATATTGTGCTT